CTATTTTAATGGAATGCATTCTCCAACAACTTTCTGGAAACAGTGTGCATGCGAGGTACATTTTTGGAGACTCTGTAAGTCTGAAAAGTTTTTTCTGTTATTTATTCATTTAATTGAGATATTTCTGTGTTGGAAATAATTTAGCCTTGGCATTTTGAAGACACTGATTTATTTTCTTTTAGCTCCAGTTTGCTGTTGAGAAGTGTGAAACCATTCTTTTTGTTTATTTTTTATTCTGTGGTAATCTTTCAGAATTTTATGGTATAAACCATTGTTTTTTTTAGCTTTCTCTGTTGCTAGTAAAGGGTTTAGTTTCTTGGGTCTGTGTGGTCATTACCACCACTGCGTGGAGAGACCCACAGGCTAGGTTTTAGTCTTGGACTGGCTACTCACAAGCTGTAAGACCTTGGGTCAAATTATGTAACTTCTCTGAGCCTCAGTTTTCTCATCTGTAAAACAGAGAAACACAATGAATGAGAAGTACCTGGTCTTCAGTAATTGTTGACTAAAAACATTCATTCTTTTATCTCCCCCAAACATGATGGACATGCAAAAAGAGAAAGAGTTCATCTCTGTCCATCAAGAATTCATCCGTTAGTGGGAGAGATAGAATAACTCTAACCTGCTTAATTTTCTGCAGCTATTGAGTGCCTGTAATGTCCCACTAATGCACTAGTTGCTGAGGGTTACAATGTAATAAGTTTCCTGTTTTCAAATGGCTTTCCATCTGGTGGAGTAAAAAACAGAGTTGAAGTATAAGGCAGACAGTTCGCTGCTGTCACACTGTAGAAAGGAAGTATGAGGGAAGGAGAGGTGATGTCTAACCGTAGGGATGTTGCACAATAAAATAAAAATCACATTTTGAAATAGGTAAGCCATAGCTCATAGGTACTAAAGTGAAAATGCTGAAGTACATCTGTGGAAGCCAAGGAAGTGCCAGCTTGTAGATATAACTCAAATCACACACATTTCATTATTTAGTACGTAAGGCTTACCTCCTTCCTGCAGACAAACTATCAGAGCAGGGATCAAGTTCTGAGCATTCCACAACTTAGAGGCCTTAAATCTTAGTCCAGTCCTTGCTCATGTAGGAGTTACGTGGCATAGGTTGTGTCAGAAACAGATTTTGAAAAGTGGCAAGTTGCTAAAATGACTGCATATTCTCTAGGGAAAATATTCTTATTTGAATATATCACTTTTGCAGGCCCCCAATTCTATAAAGACAACCTGAGACACATGCAGCTTAGGTCTACACAGGTTGAGGAAAAGATCTGGAGAACAGAAAATAACATTGCACAGAATATTAGGCTGTTTGTCTTCTTCAGACCTGTCAGCCATTGTGAGCCCTATCATTGCCTTTTGCCTTTTGTACTAAGTGGCCAGATTACTATGATCTTTGAATGCATAACAATCTGGCCATTCAGTGTATATCCTATCTAATAAAAGGGTGACATGCAAATTGTCCCCTCGACCAGGAGTTCAACCAGCAGGCAGGCCAGCCAACCCCCCAAGTTCCCTCTCCCTAGCCAGGCTGGCCAGACCCCACCCATGCATGAATTCATGCACCAGGCCTCTGATATTCAGAGATCATAATACTCTGGCTACTCAGTGTAAAATGCCCAGACATTAGGAATGCCTGACCTCGAATTCTCCCTCCTGTGGCTCTTGTAGCCTGATGAGGGTTCTCCACACATCACAAGCCCCATCAGCTCTTGCCTCTCCCTCCTTCTCAATCCCCTAAATGCCCGACTCCATCACCAGCCTGACCTGGCTGTTTATCACCTGAACAGCTGGGAGAATTTGGCAGCAAGGATCTCGGAGACACCTATACCAATGAACGTTTATACCAAGTGTTACCTGCCCAACTCTACCGCTTTTAAGGATATTGAAAGCACGGAGTAAAACAAACAAGTTTTTTTTTTTTTGTTTTTTTTTTTTAATCTTTCTCAGCACTTCTCAGAGTTTCTAATATTTCGAAATCCATTACGAATTTCTTAAAAAAAAAAATGGATATAATGTGCAGTGTTTCCCAATTCACTTCTTCACTCCTAAGAAAAATATTAAGAAAAACTGATTTAAGGCACTTTTCCACGAGACCTTCCCAATAACCCCAGTTAGACATTATTTGTGGTACCTTACTTGTAGCCCTTATGTCTTCATGTAATTTTCTATCTAATTTTAGAGTTGGATGAGATATTAGAAATCTGTATTCTTTTAGTGGCTGCCATGAGAATTCCTAATTCTTTTGGGATGAGGATTCAGACAAGAAACAGAAGATCCCAGAAGTTCTCTTAGGGGGTCCTCTGCAAAGCCTTTGTTTCCTTGAACCCCCTAATGAGTTTGGGCATGTTCATTTGGAAGGCAGAGCAGGAATGCTTTAATAGCAAAAGTATGAGACATTTGAAGTTCCCAGGGAAACTTCAGGAAGGAGAGAGGAGTCAGTCAGACTAAAGGCTGCATGGGAAAAGGATCAGAGAGGAACAAGAAAAAACAAACAAACAAACAAACTAATGGTGGGCCTGCTGAAAAGAAGCTTTGGAGGAGAACAGAAACGTCCAGTGGGAAATTCCCTGCTATTTTTATTGGGGATGCAGCACAAACTGCTCTTTTGTTTCCCCTGTGAAATCTTCAGCAGTGCCTCCCTGGCCCACACGGTTTGCGTGTGAGTAGGTTCTTTGGCAGACTTGGCACCGCGGCGGAGGGGCTGGGGCTGGCGGGGGAAGCTGACGTGTGGGTGGCATCGTCTTTCCCTTATGTTCCTGTCTCATCCTCTCCCCTAGGCTGTAAGCATTTGTGGAATGAATGAAGGAGTGAATGAGTAAATGCATGGCTTTCTAAGCAGAAGCAGCAGGTAAGGATTTCTCTTTAACTGAGACTAGACCCAGCTGCTCAGCCATTAATAGGATGGAATTACTTAGTAAAGTAGGGGATTACTATGTATGTGTGGAACTAACCAATTACTGGGTCAGTGAGAAAGGTGCTGCTCTCTTGGTTGTAAGCATGCTCTTCCCTGTGGAAAGAACTAAAGTTTTAATCCTGGCCATCAGAAGACTGCTTTAATTATGAACACCTGGCCTTCCAAATTCCAACATCTCACCCCAGCTCTCTGATAAGGAAGCAAAGGTAAAATTCAAAGGTATCACACTTCTCCATTCTTTGTTAGAAGTTAATTGCTCTCTTACATGTGTTTTCATAGCACTTTATAGCAAACCAGTGTTCTGAGGTTCACCACATTGTATTACAGATCTCATACAGCTTTGGTTTCTCTACAACCTCGCCCCTCCATCACACCATCTTATCTTAATCTGGCCAGGTCCTATGTCCTGTTTGGGGGCTGAAAAGATAATCACAGAGGCTTTATTTTCTCCCTATGAGCCTCTCTTCCTTGAAAGCCTTTGGCTTCTTGATGGAAGGGACCATGTCTCACTCCTCTTTGAAGCCCCACAGCCTGGCAGCCTCTGGTTCACAGTAAATGCTGAGTCAATGCTTTTGAACTGAATTACATGTGGGGAGAAAGCTGGGTGCTGGTGCAGTAATGGTGACCAATTCCAGAATAATTGGAAAGGCCTGGTCTTAACACCTTTGTTTGTCATCAAAAGTGACTTCTAGCCGAAACCGGTTTGGCTCAGTGGATAGAGCTTCGGCCTGCAGACTGAAAGGTCCCAGGTTTGATTCCAATCAAGGGCATGTACCTTGGTTGCGGGCACATCCTCAGTAGGGGGTGTGCAGCTGATCAATGATTCTCTCTCATCGATGTTTCTAATTCTCTATCCCTCTCCCTTCCTCTCTGTAAAAAAAAAAAAAATCAACAATATATATATATATATATATATATATATATATATATATATATATATATTAAAAAGTGACCTATAATTTCACAGTTAGTTGCCAGCACCTACACCTGGTAGAACTAGACAATGAGACGTTCCTTATTGATGTGAGAAGGAATCACATCATGTTCATATTAGAAAGGGGATTTAGGTTTCTCTGGTAGAAAGCTCAGCTGGCATAACATCTCTCTCACTTCCTCAGTGGCTCTGAATTTAGGAATTCCCACAGCCAGTCTATCTTTTGAAATGCATTTACTGGGAAACCATTTGTCAGTCCCAGTTATCCAATGGGAAGGGAGAGGGGAAGGATTTGGTTGTCATTGCAGGAGTCCGGCTAGGCTCCTGAGACACCACAGTCAGTGGAAGAGATGACCACAGAGCCCCGCCAGCATCTGAAAGGGAGGGCTGTGGGCTCAATCCTGAGAATATAACTTAACTCTTTGGATACTTATTTAGTCATTCATTCAACAAAATTTGTTTAAGCCCCTGGTCTGTGGCAGGCACCATTCTAAGTACAGGGGATTCATTCTTGAAGCAAGACAGAAAAAGTTTTTGCTCACAAGACTCTCTCTCTCTCTCTCTCTCTCTCTCTCTCTTTCTCTCTCTCTCTCTCTCACACACACACACACACACACACACACACAAATGAGGATATCAGAGTAATATTAAGATAGGATGGCGTGATGGAGGGGCGGGGTGATAGTTGGGAAAGGCATCTCAGAAGTGTCATCGTATAGTTGAGAGCCGAATTAGAATGAGAGTTGCATAAGAAACAAGGAGGAAGCCGAAACCGGTTTGGCTCAGTGGTAGAGCGTCAGTCTGCGGACTGGAAGGTCCCAGGTTCGATTCCGGTCAAGGGCATATACATTGGTTGCGGGCACATCCCCGGTAGGGGGTGTGCAAGAGGCAGCTGGTCAATGTTTCTCTCTCATCGACATTTCTAGCTCTCTATCCCTCTCTCCTCCTCTCTGTAAAAAATCAATAAAATATATTAAAAAAAAAAAAAAGAAACAGGAGGAAGATGTGATGTATTCTAGGAGCAGAGGGAAAGCCACTGTGATGAAGCGGAGGGGGAGCAGAAGGGGGTTGCACAGTTGAGTCCTGCCCTGACCCTTTGCACTTCTGGGCCACACCAGGCTTAACACTGTGTTTTTTCTTCTCCTGCAGACGACTTTGCAGAGGAGGAGGAGATGCAGTCCTTCGGTTACAAGAGGTTTGGTGAGTTCCGACACAGCCTTCTTCTTCTCCGTGGTTGATCTGGGGTACAGCAAGGCCATTGCTGGACCCTTGACACGTGAGCGTGCCTGGTTCTGAGGCCCAGTGTTGGTTGGAAGTTGAGTTTCTGTGTAACAGGTAGATGATTTCTCACAACTCCGAGGGCAGTGGAGCAGGAGCTGTGCTCAGGAACGCTTATGGGGTTCGATGGGTACAAACCAGATGGTGTAAAAGGCAAAACATGGTGGGAAAGGTAAGCCAGTGACAAGACAGGAGCAAACATACATGGAATTTCTGTATTGATTTTTAGAAAATATCTTCCCTTTTTCCTCAGGCCCCATGCTCATAACTCAGTCAATGTTAGTAGATAATGAGAAGGCTTTTTTGAGAAATCCAACTAACTACATGTGCTCTGTGGTAGGCTGGATTATGGTCCCAAAAATGTCCACCCCTAATTCCTGAAACCTGAATGCTACTTGTATGGCAGCTCGTCCTTTGCAATATGATCAAGTTAAAGAACTGGGGATGAGGGGATTATCATGGGCTACTGGGTGAGCTCTCAGTGCAATCCAAGTGTTCTTGTAAGCGAGAGGGAGATTTGACTATCTAGAGGAGAAGGCGTATGGTGATGAAAGCAGAGATTGGAGTGATGTCCTCTGAAGGTGGAGGATGGTGCCACCAGCCAAGGAGCGCAGACGGCCACTGGCTGAAGTGGTGAAGTACACAGGCTGAGCTGGAAAAGGCCAGGAAATGGATTTTCTGTCCGGAGCCTCTGGAGAGAGCACAGCCCTGCCAACACCTTCATTTCAGCCAACTGAAGCTATTTCAGACGTGGCCTCTAGAATTCTAAGAGAAAACACTCGTGTTCTTCTAAGATGCCACATTGTGGTAATCTGTTGAGGCAACTCTGGGGGACTAATAAACGCTCCTCTGCCTCGGAAACTGCTGATGCAGAGGGCTCTTCTCTCTCTGACCAGGCTTCTCATAGTCGGCAGTTTGGCTAGGAACTGCCAGTGAACATTGCAAATTCTAAAGGTAGTTCAAGGGAATGGAGGTTTTCTGTCCAGTCTGTTTCTGTGCCTTGGCCAAAGGAAATGAAATGAAGAAGGTTAGAGGAGAAAAGGAGTGTGTGTGTGTGTGTGTGTGTGTGTGTGAGAGAGAGAGAGAGAGAAAGAGAGAGAGAGAGAGAGAGAGAGAGAGAGACAGACAGAGAGAGATACACACAGAGAAAGAGACAGAGAGAGAGAGAGAGAGAGAGAGAGAGAGAGAGAGAGAGAGAATATAAAAGAGAACAAATCTACTTCCTGTTGCTTAGAAAACATCCTTGCTGGACTTTGATAAAAGTTAACAACCCCCAGCTGCTCTGGCTCCCTCACTGCTTTAGCGTTTTTCCTTCTGGACACACAGTTCTGCATTTCTTTCTGGGGAAAGCTAGGGCTTTAAAATGGGAGCACAGAGGTGCCAAGCCCATAGTTCCTCCATTCATGTGCTGGCAGAGTGGCTTGTGCTCGGTGCCCCCTGCCTTCCTCCACAGCACACAGCTCTGTGTCTACACAATTACATATTTCTGGATAGGTACCCTGTGTTCTGCTTTCTGATGGAGGGTTCACTGAAGGTAGCAGCAGGAGTGGAAATGAAACCAAGAATTATAGAGGGAAGGAAAACAAAACAGAAATGAAAGGCAGACATAAAGAAGAAAATCAAGCTTGTCAAAATAAGGCAAAATAAACGATGACATGCCTGTATATTTTAGAAATCAGTGGACTCCAGATCTGTAGTTGGAAATCAGTAGGAACATGAAGAACCAAGAGAAAAGTTTGCTTTAAAAAAGAGTGACCTTTAGAGAAATGTTATTTAAAATTTGATGACCATGTAACTAAGCTAGGCGGGTGAGGATCCGGTGAAAAACACACACAGAACTCCACAAAAAAATAGTAAGTTGCTGAAAGGATTTAATGTGTGGTGGTTAAATCATGTGTGGAAATCACACCGTGATGACTCAGAGGAGATAGGATAATAACCTAAAATACTCAACAACAAAAACAGAGAGGAGTGAAGAGGAGTACCGAGTGGTACAAGTAGGAGGAAGAGATGAAATGAAAATGGGAAACCTTGGAATGAGCCGTGAAAGAGGTGTTCTGATGTTGAGAATTCTCGGATTCAGCTTTTAGGTAAAGTGATGGATATCCAATCTTGGGGAAGATTTAGAATTTTGGAGATGGAAGGGCCTTTGAGATTATTTAAATCATCCTTTAATTTTACAGATAAGGAAGATGAGGCCCAAAAAGATTAAGTTCTTCTCAAGCAGGTTAGCTGGAGCTGGGATTGGATACTCGGTCTTCTCACTCCCAGGCTAGAGTACTTTTGGGGAAGGGTCTAGCAATAAGGTTGATGTGACTTTTCAACTTCTGTGTCCTAGAAGGGTCTCTATAGATACAGAGCTGTTAGCGTAGGCTGGACACCCAATATGGCCCCACCAGGAAGGCCTTGTCACTTTTGCAGGACCTAAGACTCTCGACCTGGTTTTATAGAAGGTAAATGGGTTTTCATTTCCTAAGAAATGGCCAGAGCTGGTCATTAAAAGCAGCAGAACCCAGGAGCTCATTCCTTCAGGTGTAGTCCACCTTAATTATTAAAGGAGGGCAACGTTGGTGTGAAGGGTGTTAGGAGAGACGGGACAGTCCAGTAGGCACTGCTCCTACTCACTCTTGTGATTGGAAAATCACTTCAACTCTGTGGGCCTCAGATGCTGCCCAGGGAGCAATGACACCTGCCAGGTAGGTAAGTCGACCTCACAGTCTCCTTGGTGAGACTAAGAGAAATATCAGGTGGACAAGTGCTTTGAAGGGGCAGCACTATAAAAAGAAAGGTAGTGTGATTCCCTATCCTGAGATTCGGCGCTGTCACCACTTTGGACATTTTGGTACAGCTACTGCTGAACATCAGAGTGGGTGTGGCAGGCCTGAAACCTCATTCCTGAAGACAGGTAAAGGTGTGATTTGCCTCCAAAAATGGTAATATCGATGGCTTTTTATTTTTGCAAAAGTAGCCTGGATAACATAAAGGGTTTAATTATTGTCTCATTTTCAGTATGTCTTATTTATGCAAATACAATGATGAATTTAGGCTCCAGATGAATCAGAGGTTACTTATCCCCAGGACAAAGGGGCTGCTGTTTTAGCAAATTGTGACCTGGTGGCTTGTTTCCAAGGTTATTCATATATAGTTCTATAGATGCATTTACTACATAAAGTCAAGGCTGTTTAATAACAATATTGTGCTTTTGGTCAAGTGGCTCTGTTGGTTGGAGTATTGTCCCATACATCAAAAGGTTGTGGGTTCAATTCCTAGTTAGAACACATACCTAGGTTGTGGGTTCATTTACCGGTCAGGGAATGTACTATATAGAAGACAACTGATCAATGTTTCTCTCTCACATTGAAAAAGACATGTGGATCAATTTATCACAAATTCCAGTTTTATAACTGTATGTGATTAACATGAATACATTCAGTCCTATGATTAATATGAATACGTTCATTGATATTTCTCTCTTTCTCCTTTCTTCTCTCTCTCTCAAATTAATAAAATGATAAAACGTGTTTCTTCAAATTCAATGCAATCTATTTATATAAAAGGCTGATATGCAAAGTGTCCCCTCATGAGTCCAATGGAGAGACCAGGAGTTCAATTGCTCACTATGACGTGTGCTAACCACCAGGGAGCGGAGCGGAATGAAGGAAGACCCCAGCCAGCAGCCGGAAGGCCTCAATTGGCCCTGATCGCTGGCCGGGCCTAGGGACCCTACCTGTGTGCGGATTTCATGTAACCTGGCCTCTAGTATTACAACAAAGAGCAAAAGAGGTCATCTCCAGTGATGTAGTGCGGTGTGGTCATATATAGACAAGGACAGTCATCCCTTGACTATTCTGGGATTCATTGTTACACTTTGGTCTTAACCTTCACTTAAGTCTTCTCTTTTTCTTCAGCCATTCTATGTGTCATGTGTCCGAAGAAGAGATAGAGTTAAATCTGATGGGTTTGCCATTTATTTTCTCCTCTGACCAAAGCTTTGATGAGGGAAATTCTGAAAGGTTAATGAAGTGAGCATTTTCAACATTTAATCAGGCTCTGAGGATCAGCGTTTCTTGGCCTCGGTATGCAGCTAATTAGTTTGGGATGTAGCTATAGTTACAGTGTGGCCGAGATCATCCTCTGGAACAGGAGGTGCCAGTATATTAGTTTCTATGTCCTATAAATAGAACATGATATATACTGCCACGACATCCTTCTGCTTATTTCCCAGTTACTGTAGTCTTCAAACACAGCACACACGGCTCTGGGAGGCCTTACTGTTACAGTTAGCGGGAAGGGGAAGAGAATTCGTTCCTGTGCTGAGGGATAAATACACATTTATAAGATTGGAATTTGTGATAAATTGGTCCAAATGTCTTCTGAAACCTTCCGATTAGCCCTGTGATTAACACGAATACATTCAAGTTAAAAAGCTTTTTTCATTAAAATGATAGGCAGTAGGGGAAAATAAAATAAAATGTGGTTTCCGTTCCAAGGAATAAGTGCATCAAAACCCCACAGAAGAAGGGGAGACGTGTGGACAGAGGGGTGCGCTCCAGATCCTGCCCTTTAACCCTCTTGGGAATGATAACAATCCAGGGCCACGTTTGGGTATCGCGTTTATTTTACCAAAGGCCAGGCGTCATCTCTTCCACTTGATGGCTGCTTTCATCCTTTCTGGGGGTGAAGGGGGTGGGGGTGGGGGGACAGTGGATGCTGTGTGGATGTGGGAACCAGGGATGTGTTTTTGGATTTGAGTTCCAGCACTCATCAACTCTGACCTTGTTTAAACATTGTTGTTTAAAATCGTAAAGCCTCCGTGTGGAACCTCTGGAAGGAAGGTGGGGGAGGGTGGGTGGGAGGTAATCAACCAAGGACCTTACATGCATGTATGCATGGCCGGTGGACACAGGCAACAGGCTGGTGAG